ATCACCATCCATCGTTGAGATCCATGAGAAACTCATTAACAAAGAGGCAAAACTTCTCAGTCTCTCCAACAGCTCTGTGGTCACTACTCCTGTTACGGCTCATGTTGCATCTACACGTCCAAAGTACCAGCAAAACAGGAACTACAATCGCAACTGGAACAACAACAAAGAAGGTCAACAATCCTACCAGCCACAACAACAGCAAGACAATCGTCAATCTCGGGGCTATCAGGGACGTTGTCAATTGTGCAGCATGTTTGGACATAGTGCGATGGTACTCACAAATCATGCAAAGGAAGACTTGTTGCCAAGGGCTACACTCAACAACATGGTTATGACTATACTGATACTTTCTCACATGTTACTAAAGCAACTACTCTTCGTCTTGTTCTTGACATTGCAGTGAGTAACTCATGGCCCATACATCAGCTTGATGTCAATAATGCCTTTCTTCAAGGCACTCTAACCGATGAAGTATATATGGAGCAACCACCAGGCTATGTTGACAAAGATAAGCCTGATCATGTATGCCGACTTCGGAAAGCTATATATGGTCTCAAACAAGCACCCAAGGCATGGTACACTGAGCTACAATCCTTCCTTCTCAGCCTCGGATTTACAAACTCTCTTGCGGAGACCTCTCTGTTCGTACTCCAACGTGGAAAGGAGCTAGTGTATCTTCTCATCTATGTAGATGATATTCTCCTAACAGGGAACTCCAAATCGGCCATCACCACCATTCTACGGCTCCTAGCAGAACGTTTTTCCGTGAAAGATCCCGAGGATCTTAACTATTTTCTCGGTCTTGAGGCTCATCGGACTCACAAAGGCTTGCATCTCTCTCAACGAAAATATATACTTGACTTGCTCCACAAGTATGACATGATGAATGCAAAGCTTGTCTCCACTCCGATGGCATCTTCACCGCGACTGACACTGGACTCTGGTACATCTCTGTCAAATCCGTCTCAATATAGACAACTCATTGGAAGCCTGCAGTACCTTTAGTTCACACGTTTAGATATTGCGTATGATGTCAATCGCTTGTCTCAGTTCATGCATAAGCCCACAACAGATCACTGGCAAGCAGAAAAACGCATCCTTCGTTACTTGGCTGGAACACCGACACATGGGATCTTCTTCATGGCTGGAACACCGACACATGGGATCTTCTTCAGCACAAACAACAAACTCATTCTCCATGCTTACTCAGACGCTGATTGGGCCGGTGATGCTGATGACTACATCTCTACTAACTCATACATCATTTATTTTGGCAATCATCATATCTCATGGACAGCTAAGAAACAAAATGGTGTTGCTCGTTCTTCAACAGAAGCTGAATACCGAGCAGTAGCCAACACTGCAGCTGAGTTGAGCTGGATCTGCAGCATTCTTTCGGAACTGCTCGTCACCATACCTTCATCGCCAGTAGTACACTGCGACAACGTTGGTACTACATTCCTTTCTGCTAATCCCATTTTCCACTCGCGCATGAAACATATAACGATAGACTATCACTTTGTTCGTGGTCAAGTTCAGCGCGGTGCCTTGCGAGTCTCTCATGTCAACACTAAAGACCAGTACGCAGACGCACTTACAAAACCCCTGCTAGAGCTCGCTTCTTGGATCTTCGTCACAAGATTGGAGTGAGCCCTCTCCCTCCATCTTGAGGGGACGTGTAAGAGATATTATAGAGAGATACTCGAGATCCTCATCTCCTCTGTTAAGGAAACTTAGTTAATACATTAACCTAGAGATCTCCTCTCTATTCATGTATATATAGGCAATTGCCTTTGTAATTATAATACATCAAACCATATATTCTCTACAAATAGGTGGTACCATGTGTGAAAATGTTAAGATTTTCATATGTAACCGACTAGAATGACTTAAATAACATGAATTGAAAATTAGATGCCAAAAATGAACAAGCGATTTTGGGATGAATGGTGTTTAAAGTCTGTTGCGTGACCGAATATCTCTCTAATAACGTAATACTTTTGGTACGGCAGATGAAAACACTATCCCACTATCGCAAAATAAAGAAGGTAGGCCAATCTTTATGGATCTTCTTGATCTACTGCCTTGATCTCCAAAACATACAGTATCGAGAATATGATGCAATATAAAACATTACTGAGTACATGACCAAGTCTACAGTTCCTTAACGATGTAGCTGATCATCATGGTATGTGAAATTATATTAGACTTATATATACTTAAAGCGTAAACGGTTAAAACATAATTCGTGAACTGAACACATGTCAGACAAAATGATTAGAATAGCAATCAGGGGAGGAATCTAGTAGAGAAAGATGTGGATGCACTTAATTTTAAGAGACTAAAGCAAAATTTAGCTAATCCTAAAATAACTACAATTATGTTATATGTTGTTTTCTATAAAGTTGTTAAAGTATCTAACATTACTTTACGTGACATATTATATACGACGACATAAAAGTTAAAATTTAGAGTTTTATGATCTTCCAATATAGGTTTCATTAGTTGTTTTGCCGCATGTACGAGTATAATAATGTTACAAATATTTATAATACATTATGAATTTAAATATTATTATTATAATAAAGTATTGTTTTTATATTCAAAATATTTAATAATAAATTAAAGTACCAAATACATTTTACATACAAAGTTCATAACATAATACTTTAGTACGTAAACTAATCCTGAAAACACTTATTCATTTGCAATATTTAGTAATAAATTATTTACATATCACAAAAAATTATATAATAAATTATATTGATTTCCTAAAATAATTTGAAAACATTCATGTATACATATTTATATATTTAGCTTTTAAGAGTTTATGATGTAAATATTTTTTTTAGATAACAAAATATAAATTATTTTTGTATAGTGATCTATATTAAATCAATTAAATTCGTTTTTAATTTATGATTAGTTATATATTAACAATTTTAATTATTCATTAAGGCTAATAAAAACTTTGTAATATAATATAAACTATTTTTAGATAATGATAATTATCAAGTTAACCAATTTTTTTTTTAATTTATGATTAATTATATATCAACAAACATAATCCCCTACATATTAAAAGAGAAACATTTGAAAAATTGTAACCTCAATTTTGTAATAATTAAAAGAGACACCATGCTTAGGTGTCATTCAATTAGGTAGTCAATTACATTCAATTGAAAAATAAGTAGGTCCATATTCAATTTTTATATGTCGCTAGATACATTGGTCAAACTATATGATATGATTATGATATTTATGATAGAAGCATTTATGATTGTTCCGCTAAATATAGTTACTATTTTATTTTATTTCCTTAAATAAAACCTACGGAATTACCATAAATGACTAATATATATATATGACAATTAATGATTCTAATAATAAATATTTGATAACAATTTATATCTCCTCCATCATTTTTTTTAATTTTACATTATCAAAATAAATTAAACAATAAAATTAGCTATAAAATTAAACTTTAGATTTTTTCGTATATGTTATATTTTGAATTAAAAAAACGAGAATAAATGACTAAAACTATTAAAATTATTATGTTAAAAGTTAATGATCAATAGTTTAACATTTTTATTATAAAAAGATATACATGATTTTAAAACCATATGAGTAAAAAGTATCATTCAATAATAAAACAAATATATTTATAGATTAAAATATATACCATATAAGATTACATAAATATTTTAATTTCAAAAATTTCAATGAATTTTCAAGAACATTTATAAATTATAAACTTATTAATTTTTTCACATTGAAAAGTTTTGTTATCAATGATTTAAATATCTTAGTTCTTTTTAATTTTATATTTTTAAAAGATATTAAACAATCGATAATATGGTTATTTTTGGTATATACCATACAAACCGAATGGATGTGATTTTATAAAAACCGTAGGATTTGGATATGGTTTGATTTATAACTGATTAAATTGAAACAGGTAAATATGTATATATTTTTAACGACACATGAATATCTATTTGTTACATGAATTGAACTATAATTATAATTTGTAAATCACTTGAATCACTTGAACTATAATTAACTAACAATTTACTGCAACTGAGGCTTCTTATTTTCTTAGTTTTTTTTGGTCTTTTTGCTTTATTTTAGTTGTAACTAAATTGAAGTAAGGATTATAAATTTGATGGACAACAATTAGTTGAAATTCTTTACAACTTTTTTTTTTATCGTTAAACAAACAGAGTTGTGTTCAGTCGGAGACGTGTTAATTGATGAACACTAAATATGGAAGAATATAAAAACTTTTCTTTCATGCCTCTTTTTTTTTTCAAAATTTAGAGCTTTGATATTAATTCTAGATTTGATTATTTTATTAGATGATAGAAGCTTTTTTATTCTTTTATTTAAATATATATTTTTTTTTAATAAATGACTTTTTGATAATATAATTCTAAATATGATCATATATATTATATATTTGTATAATATATAATATAATCTCAAACTAAATAATTATGTTTTTTGGTATAAAACTTAATAAACTGAAAACCGATGGTATATAAACCAAATCAAACTGAAGTAAATATGGATTTAGAATAGTAGTTATATTTTAATAACTGAAATACCGAAAAATCGAACCGAACCGAAACCCGATACCCGGATTGAACACTCCTTATCTAAATGAAACCAAACTATTATTTCATTTTCCAAAACATAATAAAAATAATAATTTCATCCCGCGTCTTGCGCGGGTCTGAACCTAGTTATTCATTAAGCGTAGTGAACACTTTAACGCTATCATTTTTTAGCGTGAAATGTCGAATGTGAAAAAATCATTTTACAAATAATAGTTATATTGTAATACACTATTTAGGAGTAATTTGTAAACTCACATGAAAATGATGGGTCCAATTGTCAAATAACCTATGTCTAAAAGCCTACATAAACAGCCAACCATTCAACTAAAATCGAGCAAGAAGAAGAAAAAGGCAAAGAATTAAACTCTAAAAACAATGAAGATGGTAAGCCAAAATCTAACGGGGACGTTGCTCCTCTTCACCACATTTCTTTTCATTTCCCGCTCAATCTCAGCCATTGATTCTCCTCCAAGACTAAACGCAACAACCAACGATCTAACTTTCATCCGAACAAGCTGCAACGCTACTCTATATCCAGACCTCTGCTTCAACTCTCTCGCCAGCTACGCCTCCGCCGTTCAAAACAGTCCAGCGAGGCTAGCAAAACTCGCTATCGGTGTTACCATTTCAAAAGCTAAATCAACGGCTATTTTTCTTACCAAACTCTCGCGGTCCGCAACCAAAGTCAAAGACTGTGCTTCTTACCTCAAAGACGCACTCGACGAGATGAGAGATTCTCTCCGAACACTACGCGACATTAGCCGCGGAGTAGGCATCACTGCGGCTCCGTCATCGGTGGAGATGTTTAGATTCAAGATGAGTGACGTGCAGACGTATATGAGTGCAGCATTGACGTATGAAGATACGTGTACGGACGAATATGAGGAAATGGAAGGGACCAAGACGGCTGTTTATGATCGGGTGAACAATCTGAAGAGGTTAACTAGTAATGCTCTTGCGCTTGTTAATAGTTATGCCAACAATGGAGCTCCATGAGATCATGAAAGAGTTTTTTAACCTTTAATTTAAATGTTTCTTGTGATGATTCCTTTACTTTGTTAAATATTTATTCTGATAAGTTAGTAGATCATGGGTTTAAAACTTTTAAATTCAAAATGTATCATATACTTGAGTTCAGTGTGGTACTGGTACATGTTATATACTTAAATTGTCAGATTTTCTTGTGATTAGTAGGAGATATAATTTTTTGGTGTAAATATTAGGAGATATATCTTACGTTTATATTGTCAAATACACACACTATATATATATACGAGTATATACATTTTGCAGGTATATAGGAAAATGTTTAGGAATAGATCACAATTAATTATAGAGTGGTTATAAGAGCAAGTCCAATTATAGAGTGGTTAGGTGAGTATCTAACTAATTAAAGAAAATGAAAAATTGAAAAAAATTAGAGAAAGATGTAGAGAAAAGTTCTCTGTACAAACTCTGCAAAAACTTATCAAACTATATTAGAGGGCAAATGTCACTTTCTAATTGAATTAAGCAATTAAAAGAAAATTCATTTAATTAAAAACACAAATTGTACTACAATATTAATACTATTTAGTTGCAGAGAACTAATTTTTGAGAAACTACCTCGATAAGGGTGCTCTAAGTTTGAAGTGTTTTTTTTTTCTTCCACGACCGTTGAAATGAGTAGGACATATCCACGAGACCAACATTCGAAGTGTTCATACTCATTTCATTATTTGGTGTGTGTTTAATATCGGTTAACAAACAAGCCCACTGGCAAGTCCTTATTCCCAAAAAAAAGTCATTCTCTTTGTTCACGAGATTTCACGTTGTCCCAAAGTCACACTGGTTTTGTTCACTGCATGCCGGTATGAGAGAGGATGTTATTGGTTGGTTATGAGAGAGATGTTTAGACTTTTACAGTAGGCTATTTTACAGCGTTGGAACTTGCAAGGCTTTTTATACGTACTGTTAGGAATATTGTTTATTTAAAATTTTAAATATATATAGGCTATGTTGGTTTCGATGTTATTATGACCTGTGATTAAATCAGTCATAGTTTGTAGAAAATTTTAAACGCTAAAATCTTTTACTGATATGAAATAAACGACTAGTCTAGGCAATCAATTGCACAAAAGCAAAATGAACAACAAACTGTGACCTCTTAAATTTCTCCAGTATTGTCTCCAAAAATAGTTTTCTCTTTTGGGCAGCACAGCAGCAGGCTCATGCATGTATGTTGCCTAAGGTTTTTTTTGGCTAAAATATTGCCGTAGTTGGTTATTACTTATTAATATTTTTTTCCGGTCAAGGTTATTAATAATTTAATATCAAAATATCTTATATTTCTTGTGTACTATATACCCCAATATCTTATATATTAAAAGAGAAGTCATGACAGCAGCAGGCTCATGCATGTATGTTGCCGAAGGTTTTTTTTGGCTAAAATATTGCCGTAGTTGGTTATTACTTATTAATATTTTTTCCGGTCAAGGTTATTAATAATTTAATATCAAAATATCTTATATTTCTTGTGTACTATATACCCCAATATCTTATATATTAAAAGAGAAGTCATGACTTCACTCTTATATATTAAAAGAGAAGTCATGACTTCACTTCATGTGTGATATTTTAAAATGAACCATCTAATAGAATTTATGACATTACATTATTCAATCATTAATAACATTCATTAGATTCACTAATAATATTTAATTGGGTTTATTAGAAATTTTTATTCGGCTAATAAAAATTAGATGATCCATTGGATTTATAGATATTATAATAAAATATATTTTTAAATTACACTTATATAATTTAATATTGTAATAGTATAAATTAATTTTTTTATATATTTTCGATGTTAACTTTAAAAATTATATAGTTTATTTTTAAAAATAACAAAAACATCATTTTCTAACAATAATTAATCTATACTATATAATAATTAATCATCATTTTTGATATACACATCTTATATAATATATACTAATTTAAAAGTAAAAAAAATTATATAAAAATAAATACCCGCGCGGTTGCGCGGATTGAGATCTAGTTAGATATGTTAAAATGGATTTCGGGCCCTCTTCTGAGTTTTTTTTTCTTTTCTCCTTAATCAAAATGGGGAGTACATGCATGTTTGTAATCATACGAAAAATTTGAGTTCCCACCACAAACTGCAAAGAACAAAAATTCCGTTGTTTTGAAATGAAGTTCGTTAATAATTTCTCCGACATTCAGATTGTCAATCCTTTTTACAAAATCAAATCAAATGTGTGTTTTGTTTTTTTTTCAGCAAGAAAAGGATAAAGACTCATAACTTTATACATGAACACCACATGCAAAGTCGAATTACATTCTCAAAATGTCATCTTACTCTACTCAACCCCCTAAAACTAAAATAACACAAAAGTTTATAATCTAAGCTTAGTCGGTAAGCTCGCTCAAAAGTTTCACTTTCGGTGGCCTTCCACGCCCTCGACGCACCACACCGTTATTACCCTCATTTTTCGCTCCGTCATCGCCTTTAACCGTCTTCGGTGGTCGTCCTCGTTGTCTTCTCGGTGGTACCTCCTTTGACTTAGAAGGACGACCTCTAGGCCTTAGGGAATGAGACGTGACCGCCACGTGGCTTTCATCTTCTTGAGGTTCTGACTTCAAAGTATCAGGTTTCATGTAATTGTTTCTAACAAACACGATCTGCCCAGACTGTTTCATCAGGTTGAGATGGTAGTTGAGAAGTGTTAGGTGAGACGGTGGCAAATGTGTCAGAGATGACTCGATATGCTTTACAATCGCCGTTTTGCTGCATTCCTTCAACGCTTCGATCGCTTCCATAATCATCTGCAAAAAATACAAATAACAACAAAAAAAAAAAACGTTTCAGATCTACCGAAGAAAAAAAGAGTTCAAAATCTGAGCACAGGAGGAGTTTTAGATAATACCTGAGGGTATGGTAGGAGAGAGAAGGGAAGCTCATGTATCTGCGGTGGATTTGGAGTTTGTTGAAGATCAAGAAGCTTCTTCTCCATCGTCACTTCAACGCCTTCCGACAGTGTGAGAGAGAGAACTGTTGCTTGAATGGGACAGAACAGAATCTAAGTGGATTTAATTTTTTTTTATTTATGAAAAGCTGATCGGACGGTTAGGGTTCGAATTACGAACATTGATCTAACGGTTGAGAAATATTATCTCAGGATTGCTTACCTGGCTGGAGTTGATATATGATAACTTTTGTGAGTTTACGTGTTACTCCATATTTTGAACTTTATAAGTCTGACACGTTTCGAAAATGCCAAAATGGAATAGGAAAAAGAGAAAATGAGAAACCTCATGACATGTCATATCGGTTTGTAGCATACAATTACGGAAAATAACAATAATAATAATTTGAAGAATTGCAAATAAAGGGATTTACTCATATATGCAAATATATATCCCAGATATGATATTCTACAGGCAATAACAAGAACAGAGAGATAGAACCAAACATGTGATTATATATATTACTCACAAATAACAACAATGAAGATACAAATCAAAGGAGACCAGTGCTACGGAACGGGTTATTATTGTGTTGGTTATTAACCGAAAAATCACCAAACCCGCTCGTATTTGGCTGCTGTGAAACCGGGTTAACCGGGAATTCCCCAAAATCACCAAATGGATTATTACTGTAATTATTATTGTTGGCTGTGGGGTTTGGAAGTGCTAGCTGTAGTTGATTTTGCTGCTGATGATGATACGTTGGCTGGTAAGCACCAAAAGGGTTGTTGACAGCTGTCTGCTGAGGTGTCGGAGTACCATTGGATAATGCAAAAGGGTGATGATGGACCTCAAATGGGTTGGGAGCAGCTGGTGCACCGTAGACAGGTCGTTGTGAGGCTATGTAGGCTCCATCATCGTATAGACTGTTTAGCGTAAGCGTGTCTAAGCCTCCAGCCTATAAACATTGTCATGCACACAAACATTCATGGTTTGATGATGACATACACTATAACTAACTATTTGCTAGTAACTAGGTTCTAGTGAAGGTTATTAATATTAGTGATTTTCTTTGAACATTGCATCTCATAAATTTATACCATTGTAACCTTGAAGGGTTTGTATCCAGATATAGAAACCATATACAGTGTCTTCCTATATATTATATAACGACCAATCAACTTCCTATTCTCACTGTCCAACTAATTTGCTGCTAAGGTTCCTAGTCTCAAGTGTGATCTACTGTTTAAAGCATAAACAAAAAGAGAAGAATGCTTTTTACCAATTGCCTATCGGTGGCTGCAGAGATATCGTTGCTTGGTGTTGATACCAGGGCAAGCTCCCATCCTGAAGGGTCATAATTGTTTGCGTTACCAAAACGAGGGGTTGCAGGGTTATCTGGAAACAGAGACATAGAACAGAGATGAGTCAAAGGGAGAAACATTTGATTGTATAACAAGAAACTCACCATCTGTTGGTATTATGGCTAAAGCAAGTGCATTTTGGTTCTCAATCGCTGATGCATCAGGACCACCAGAGTTCAGACCCTGTGTCGAAAATTGAACAAAAGAGAACCTGAGAGTTAAGAATAGCAATGGGAAAGCAAAACTGAAATCAACACTCATTAACTAAATATAATAGGAGTTTCACCAGTAGATCATCTGTATCAATGATGTTTTGTGACTGAGCGTTGGCCGAAGGAGGAGGAGGGGGAGAAGGTTCAGTCTCATCAGATACAAGAACGACATCATCTGAAGGCAACACAACTTCACGTTCTTCATGAGACGGTTCAGTATCTTCGTCAGGAAGTCCATCATCCGGCCTATAAGTTAGAAGCTGCATGTAGACAACTTCATTAGCCCTTAAACCCCACAGAAAGAGACAAAAGGATCACAAATATGAAATAATGTGCTTATACCAGTGGCTCAGCTGGGGCATCGACCACACGAGGTGCTTCTTTAATATACTCCTCCATTGTAGCCAGAAAAGATTGTGGTGGCTGTAGAAAAGAAGTATGTTATAAGTAACCGTAATGAGTAATAGCTGCAAGCAATCATCTGGTACCTCTCTTAGTACAGGAAACTGAAAATTCCTAGCGAGTTCCAATCCTTTACAGGCTTCGTAGAAATCAGAAAGGCTACGTGCCTGAAAGAATACATCATCCATCATTAGACAAGAAAAAAGTAACGTCTAGGCAAAGAATAGTACAACAACATCAAACCTGTTGACCAGCACGCTTGTATATTTCAAGGGAACTGATGGCTTCATGTTTTGGCATTTCAAAGAACTGCAATAAAATAATTGGAAAAAACTGAGTAGAGGGAGAAAGGTAGAGAGACATGATCACTATGATTGCAAACACACAAGCTAAGACCTACCTTGTCAATAAGATTAATGATTCCGTCATTGATAGCACAATAAACTTTAAAACTCTCCTTCAACACCTATCATCGCATCACAAAGATGGTAAGATTTTTTTTAACTTTGCAAAGCAAAACACCAACCACTGTCTACAGTTGTGGAAACTTTAATTGGTATGACTATGAAAATTATCACGTACCAGAGCAAGTGCATATTGTATAACATGGTTGTGATTAGCAGCGCCTTCTGGCTGAAAAAAAGTAATGGAGCAAGACAGTTCAAATAATCAGCAAATGCAGCCGCAAACAATCAGCAACACAAACAAATAAATAAAAAATACCCGGCAACCAATGAGACGATAGAGAAGCTGCTGCAAAGCTGGTAACTGCACCAAGAGCTCTTCACCATCTAAATCCCTGGTTTTACTGTACCCCTGCCAAATCCACAACACATAAAATCGAAACCATCAGAATAAAAGAAGTCCAAAACGTAAGACAAAGCTCAACGTAAAGGAATAATATGATACCTTATCCTGCCCTGGGGTAGCCTTAGGAAGACGTTCAGCCTCAGTATCATATTTTAAAACCCTGAAACACTCAAGCCGTTCCTCAAGAAACAACGCATAAGTACGTACCCAAGCTGAACAATCCCAAGCTGTAAGAGAGAGAAACAAAAACACACTCTATAAGAACCTCTCTTGACTCAAACACACTAAACTCACAACTCACCAATAGGACTTGAATCATCCTTGAAATTAGAAATCTGCAGAATCCTCCCTCTCTGCGAAAAATTAAGCAACTCCTCCCTAAACGTAGGATCTCCTTCCCTTAAAAGCCTATGAATCACAATCAGCGTCTTCAATGCAACCTGTTCAAGAATAACAATTACACATAAAGCTAAAACCTTTTAACACAAACACAATCTTAAATCAAATGGGTACCGTCCAGTTTCTCGTTTTATGCAACCGGCGAGAAAGGGCATGAATACAATACGCAACGTCTGCTCGAGCACGTGTCACCGCCGTTGCAGCAAATATCTCTGCAACAACAAAAAGAAATGATTTTTAACAGATCCAAGTGTTCACGAGGAGTAATCAAGAATCACTCACTTCTGAGATGACGATCTTTGGGAGGACACTCGACGTGATTGGTTGCTTTCACTATGGCAACGTCTAAATCCTAATTTAAAAAAAAAGATTGAATCTTTCAGAGATATTTTTACGAAAGGTTTAAAATTTAATTCAATTGGGGGGAAAGAGGGAGGGGTACGGCGTAATCGCTGTTGACGCGGACAAGGCCGACTTTGGTGGTGTCTTTTAGGGCTCCATAAGCTTTTCGCCATGTCTGTAGCGTTCCCATCGGAAAGGAGACTCGTTTTAGATCTCTTAACTCTGTTCCGATGAATCCGGAGATGACGTGTCTCAGTCTCGAAACTTCTTTCCGAGAAAACCTCTGGGAAAATTGACAGAGAAAGTAAAGTGAAGAAGGAGACGCGATGTGTATTATTCCGTTTTCTATATTTTTCTGTTTTCTTTATTTAAAGAAGGAATTTCTGTTGTTTTTATTGTATTATTTTATTTATTTGACTACCCGAAATTAAAGTGAGATAATCAAAGTTTTATTTGTTCAAAAGGATTTTGATGATTCTATTTTTTATTTATTATTGAATTAAAGTTCACGCAAAGTATACATGGTAATGGTATATATATCTGGAAATTCTGACAGTAGTGATGATGAATATAAAATCGCAAACCCGTGTGTCTCTTTTAGTAAAAAAAAAAACAGAAGCCATGTGTAATTACACAAATCTCTTTGGTATAAACATATTTTGATCATCTTCACCCATAATAATTTTACACCAAAATAATTTTTTATATCATTAACTTTTTAAATTTGATAATTTAATATATTGGTTATCCAGAGTTGATTAATTATATTTATCACATTTAGTTTTTATATTTATTTACCAAAATTTGATAATTTTTTCTTTCTGTTTATTTTTATATATGTTATTTTTACTTTTAATTAATTTGACTTATTTATTTATTTTATTAAAAATATTAGTCAAAGTTAAAAGTTTATATAAAGTACTTTTATTCTGTCACAATTTAATGAAAAGTATATTATCAATTAAATTACAAATACAATAATAATTTATTGTTTTAGTAATATGAAAATATAAAAATACAAAATATTATGATATATTCATCTTAAGTATAAGTTAAAACTAATCGGTCTATAATAAATAAAAAGTAGTAAATACATTATTTTAATATTTGCTGCAGTGAATAGTGTTATTAAAAATATATAATTAAAAAAAATCAAAAAATTAATAATGAGAGATTCCATAACAATTTAACAGGCAATACATATTTCAAAAATCACATTCAAAATCTAGATTAATTTATTAAAATTACAATAAGTAATAATTAAGATAAAAATTTTGTAGTTACTAAGGATTTTTCTATGCTCCCGTAGGAAGATTTCCATAAATAATACGTTTGGCAGCTTTTTCTAAACTTAGATTTAGGGCCTGACTGGTTATAACGCAGCGATTGCGGTTGCCGGTGTTTACGGCTGCGAGAGATTACGGTTTTAAGCGTTAGTAAGAGATTTATACGACTGGTTCAATGGTTAAAAATTGTTGCGTATGCGGGATACTTATGACTGGTTTATCATCAAATACAACGGCGGTTAAGTAATAAATTAACAATATTTATATTTTATATAATTATCAAAATATTAAAATTATATTTTCATGATAAATATAAAATTTTTATTGACAAAACTGCACTATTAAACTTTTGAAAAATTAATGAAAATATTTTTTTAGAAATTTTATAATATAAATATTTCAATATTTCAATTATTTTTATTTAAAATTTTAATTGAATATATTATTTTTATATGGGATAATTTGAAAAATACCCAATTTGTGATTTAAAATTTGAAAAATGCATATGTTTTTTTGCTTTTTGAAAATTGCACTTTCTTATATATGAGAAGACATTTCTATCCTGATTTTAATTGAAAATAAAAATTAAAAGTTAAAGAAGTAAATTTAAGTTGTTATTCTTATTACTATTTTGGAGCACTTTCGACAGTAAAAAAGCTAATCCACAAGTTATTTACTAACTTAATCAGTGACGTATTTCATACTAGTTAATAGTGAAAAATGTTGTATTTGTCTTTGGTAAGAAAACATGCGACACAATAAACATTTGATTCCTCGCGATAAGCTCATGCTGTAAAGAAAAATATTCACATACCAAGTTATTCTTCGTAATTCTAACCATCATAAGTTTTTTTGTCTGCACATTTGGCAACTATCAACTCCGTGTACGACTTGCTCAATATAAATTGTGAATCGGAGTTTAAGTGAAAGCCTATGTATACTAATACTCCACAGCATATCTGTTTTATTCATGAGCCATTGACCTTTTTCAGTAATGTTTACATCATAAGTATTAGATTGGCCATGGTACTCCAAAGAAAACAGAGAAGCTCGATGATTTGCACGAAAATAAAAAAACAGCATATGAGTGGTGGTAAGACCTTTTTAAATTAAAAAAGAAAAAGAAAAAAAGAAACATATGAGTGGTGGTGATATTTTTCTATAAGTAGAGTATATTCGATTAGATATTACAATTGATTTGTTGTTGTTGAGTTTGTTACTAAAATATATTTTCAAACGCTTGGTTCAAAATTCATTTGGATTCATTAAAATTATTAAAATAATTATAGATTAAAACTGGATAGTTTAGTCATTTTACTTATAGGTAAAGGTATTTATCCAAAAAAATAAAAGATGATGTAGTTTTCAAAATATAATCTCACTGTAAGATATTTTTCCAAATTTCCCCTTTTTTTTTTTTTATATTTATATAGTTTTTTGGGAAATTTTTTTTTTTTAATCTTCCCGCAACCGCAAATGCAAATGGTAGCTGGAACCAGCTTTTGGATTCAGAGCGATTTGAAGCGGTTTATAACGATTGTTGCAAAAGGCCAACAACCACTACCAACCGCAAAAGTTACGTTTACGGATGATGGCGGAAGAACCAGTCAGATCGTTAGTTTTACGCGATTGTGTAAAATATCGAGTTTCAGAAACGAAGATTTCTCCCACATCTTGTTATTGTTGAAATTATCAAGTGTTAGAAGCCGGTGCAAACACTTTCATATACAAGAGTGATACAAAATTTGATAATGATTTTGTGGTTCTGAAACTTCTTAAGAAATACAAGGCTCACATCAACTTGAAGTGGTGTTGCAAAACCAGCGTGATCAAATACCTTTTCAAGTACATCACAAAAAGGTGTAGTCCGAGCAACTATTCTGATCGGAAATGCAAGTAATAGTAAAGTTGAAGGAAAGAAACCAGCAGATCATGGAGGCTGTTCTCTTTCCATATCCATCATAACCAACTTTCTGATATGAAGCTAACCTTAGAACTTACCTGGTCAGCAACCATTAATGTACGATGGGTGAAACAGTTTATATGAAGTTTTATCAAGGCCATGGTATTTGATAAAACTATGATCACCGTATATATGGTCAAAAATGCAACTTACGTGGAACTAACTTACATGACGAGGATCATAGAGACTGAGATCATTACCGGAACAAATGTTAGAGAAACAATGCTCATCCCTAGAACTTTATTATCCCCAAACAAGAGCATTGAGCCATTTACCGTATCAGAGATGCCAATATCAGCTCAGATCAAGAAACAAGTAGTACGCACCTCCAACGGCACCAACACGCACTACGTTCTCAACCCTGCCACATTAATCAGTTCCGCCAATCAAACCAAACACATGTCGATGCCTCTGAAAATCTAAAGCTTAGCTAAATACCGAAAATGAAAAACAATCCTATGAACATGCAAATTTCAGAGTATGTCAAGTTTGACATCAAGCATGTCCTGTTAACGAAACCCTCTTCTTCAGCGACGGACTGACAACCAACAACAAACATGATTCTGTGTTCGGTTCATTTTCAAATCAAATGGATTTTGTCCCCCGTTGATAAATGTGCGATCAAAAACTTGGTAAACTCGACTCAGTACAAACTCAGAAGTACACTGCAAATACTCCTCTCTCTCAAATACATAATATTTTATTTCCTTAGCAAACGAAGCTTCAGTCTTCCCCAACAGAATTACACATCTTAACCCGTTTGCAAATCAAAATTCAAAAAAAAAAAATTCGCCTATGTCAAAAAACATTTGCACTACTTATACACTCCACCACCAAAATAACATTTTCCCAACTACATATTGACAATCAATACCAAAAAGAAAAGATTTGCCAATTATACAAACAACATTCACCCGTCTGAGTGTTAGCAAACGCTATGTCTCCACGTCAAAATATATCTTAAAAAACCACTTTCCCAAAACATATATATGAATACCAACAAGTACTAAGTGATTACTGCAAGTAAACACATAGCCACATAATCTATTAAGTCAAAGAGTATATTGGAGTATGATTTCCATATGAAATTAGGTAATCATACAAATAAGATTTAGATAAGGATTTTATACGTTTTCCTATTTGGCTTTGGTTTTATGTTTTTCCTATTTTTGCAATACTTCTCTTGGTATAAACATGCTTGGTATTTAGGCATGGACCAAAATCTAGTTGTTTGTTAGTTGATAGAAATCAAATTTTCCATAGATAATGATAAAGATAAAAATAAAAACAAAATATAAATTATCTAAAGATATTATTTAGTTATGACTTTGGATTCTAGTCAATCATATAAAGCGTAACTTGGAAATCCTTAGCTAAACAAAGAAAAGACAAAACTCAAGGATCTTCTAAGAGTGAGTGATCGATCTTGCGGTACAGAAAAAAACATGGTTAATGGATTCCCTACAAAAGATGATCCAACACCCGCTGGAAAACCCTAATTGGAAAAACACACTCGCAAAATTGACGTTTGTGATCACTTGTACAGCCTTTACTTCAAGGGTTTGGTAAGCAATGACTCATTGGACGGATTTGGGGTCGCAATTTTGGGGCAGAAAGATGAACTCGTGTTTCAGATGAATGGACCAATTCGTGGCTCCAGCATTACTGTCTCTGAAGCTGAGCTTATTGCATTGAAGCGAGGACTAACCGAAGCTGCAGATTTAGGGATCAACCATATCACAATTTACAGTGATAATCATCCCACTCACGACTTGGTAAGTTATCTACAAAAAACATTCATTCTCTACAAAAATACAAAAAATAATTATTATCGATCAATCTCAACATAACATAGTATATAATTTTAATGAATACATATTCTTCTTTTTTTTGGTGAGTGTAGATCAGTGGAAGGTTGGTACCAAAGGAGAATAATATGGCCTTGCTAGTAAATGATGTGCAACGCATCAGGGAACGGTTTTCGTCTAGCTTTACAGTTTTTGTGTCACGAAGTAGTATCAAATATGCTTATAAACTAGCTTCGAAAACAATAGTTTCTGAAATTAGCATACCTATGGATACTCCTCGACGAGCCAAGCCTGCCCGGAAAAGGACTTGTGCTATATGTTTAGACGATGACGTTAATGCTGATCAGATGTTTACTGTTGATAAATGTCGTCATCGGTTTTGTTTCGAGTGTGTGAAACGACACATAGAGGTAAGGCTACTCGAAGGAAGTGTGATGACATGTCCTCAGTTTCGTTGCAAGTCTAGACTAACTTATACAAAATGTGCCGATCTTGTGACACCTAAATTGATAAAGATTTGGCAGAAAAGGATCTTAGAGAACTCGATTCCCTTTGAAGAAAGAGTTTATTGCCCTACCCCGAAGTGCTCAGCTTTAACGCGTGTAACCAAGGTTTCAAATGTGAATAAAGAGGTTGTAGTTAGGAGATGCTGCGATAAATGTGGTGAGCACTTCTGCACCAAGTGTAAATCTCCGTGGCATGATAACTTGTCATGCAACGATTACAAGAAAATGCATCCAAATCCGAGCGAAAACGAGCAAATGTTACATGATCTAGCAAATCAGAAAATGTGGCGTCAGTGCAGGAAATGCCAACACATGATTGAACTTAAAAAAGGATGCGTCCTCATAGTTTGCAGGTATCATATCTAATCACATCATTTCCTTTTCAATTTCGGTTTATATATATATTAATCTTGATAAAAAATATATAACATTGCATTTTCAGATATGGACATAAGTTTTGCTACCTATGTGGAGCCAATGGTGGAAGTTGCACACATGGCCATGGGTTTCCTCCGCAGCAGCAATTCTGGGCAGAGTCTTTAATTTTTCTTTTTTTCTTCTTCTTGTGTTCGTAGCTTTTGCAACTGTTGTTTATATCAAATGCTCATAGTATATAATCAAGGTTTAAAGGTTGTTTCAAGGGATTAATTGTAGAAGCCGGAAAACCGGATCGACATGAACGATATAAGAAAGACGGAGTTAAGGAAATAGACGATTATATAAGACATGGAGGCGAGATAAATCTCTTTCCTTAACTCTTAATATTCGCTCCGTAGTGAGACGAAACTGTACGAATACCGAGTCCCGGGATACAACCATGGCAGACGTTTCACGCTTCACTCGTGAAACGACCTATCGAACAAATATTCTACGAACACTCTCTGAACTTACTTTGGGAGATTTGTTGGTTTTTGTTGCGTGAAAAAAAATTAAGAATGAAGAAAGAGGAGAGATGATATTTAAAGAGAAGACGAAGAGAAACTTCCCGTAACGTGTGCTTGTTAGTGGGAATTTGGCAAAGATCTCGGGAGGTTTAAGTTACGAAAACTTCTCCCCCAAGACTCGCTCTCTCATTGTTATTAAAATATCTGGCGAGGAATAAACACCGTGACGTTTTTTTATTTGGTAGACAAACTACTTGTCGTTTTTAAAATAAAATTGCATGCTGTTTTTTGAAGTTTAAATGGCAAGCGTTGAGCTTAATTTGGTCCAAAAAGATAACTTCTTATCGGGCTAAAGGCCCTCCAATAAACCCCAAGCCCAAGCCCAAGCCCAAGCCGAGTCGAGCCGAGCCGGACGGTGGCGGCGGCGCGCGCGTGGGGAGCCATCTCTCTCTCCAAGCCGTTTAAAAATTGATAACAGAAGAGCATATATATATTGCTCTCTGATGTGTTATCTGTCCGATGTGCGACAAAAGTGATTTATTCACTTAGACAACTTTTGTGTGTTTACTTGCACAAAGATGCCAACTTCCTAGCATCATTTCTCATTCAATTTAAATCTGTTTTTGACGTTTCAATATATCAAATTGTAGTACTTGTTACAAGCTTTCCAATGATATAACAAACTGATCAAGGCGACCACTGGTTTGGTTGGAAAAGCCATAAGAAAAGTCGAAAAGATCACAGTGTCAAAAACTGTTTCCAACAATCCCCCACATTAATAGAAATGACTCTTAAAATATGCAGGCTATATGCAGACTCGATAGAAAAAAAAAACTTATTCTAATTCTGACTAGACTAGACAGACTTATCGAGAGTGTTTGAGAAAATTTCACTGTGTTTGAGTTGGTGGCATTTTTAAGCCTTGAACCACTCATAGTTAATATCTGTCGGTTTACTTTACCAGAAGGTGAACATGATGTCTTGAACCAACCGGTGTTTTATGTAGACCGAGACAACATGCATAACGCAACTTCATTTTCTCGTAGAACTTAGTTTTCTATTGTGTTCATTGTGGCCCTGAACTATTCCTGGTTTTCATGAGTGAACTTAGAGAATATAGCCTTGCATTCATTCTCTTAGAAACGGCCTCATTTCACACTCATTAGGTGATTGACCATGAAAAGTATTGAGTAATACTTCGCTTTAGAAGCTATGGAATCATTAAAAGCTAATGCTTATCCTTACATTTCATAGCACTTTTATCATCTTAGGAGCTGGGAAGAGACTACTTTGTCTCAAGTGCTTTGGTTAGATTTTGTTTGATTTTGTTTTCCCTTTGAACCTACGTCTTGGGATCTCCAGTCATGATAGGTAGGGTTGCAATCAAACATCTTCTTTCGTAATAGGCTTTAAACCCATTCCTTTTGATGATTTAGCAACAATATCTCGTGGCAAACCTTTAGTAAATGGATCCGCTAGGTTGTCTGCTGATTTGATGTAGTCTATTGTGATTACACCAGTTGAGATAAGTTGTCTAATGGTTTTATGTCGTCTTCTGATGTGACGAGATTTACCATTTTAAAGATTATTCTGAGCCCGAGCTATAGCAGATTGACTATCACAATGTATGCGTATAGCTGGCACAGGTTTCTCCCACATGGGAATATCTTCCAAAAAATTTCTAAGCCATTCAGCTTCTTCTGCAGTTTTGTCTAAGGCTATGAACTCAGATTCCATGGTGGATCTGGCTAGAACTGTTTGTTTGGTAGATTTCCATGATATTGCTGCTCCTCCTAGTGCAAAGACATATCCACTAGTGGATTTTGAGTTTTTAGAATCTGATATCCAGTTGGCGTCACTGTATCCTTCTAAAACTGCTGGTTTTTTACCATAGTGAAGCCCAAAATCTTTGGTGTAATGCAGGTAATTGAGTACTCTTGTTATAGCTTTCCAATGTGTATGACCTTGATTACTTGTATATCGACTCAGTACGTTTACTGCATGCGCTAGATCTGGTCTTGTGCAATTGGTCAAGTACATGAGACTTCCAATCACACGTGCATACTCATTTTGTGAAACCGCTTCCCCTGAGTTCTTTGTCAAGTGCATTTGGGGATCTAACGGAGTTTTTGCCGTACTATTAGAGTAATTTTTAAATCTCTCCAATATTGTTTCAGCATAATGAGCTTGGGTTAATGTAATTCCTTTTGAATTTCTTGTTACTTTAACTCCGAGAATTACATCTGCTACTCCCAAGTCTTTCATCTCAAATTTCCCTTTGAGCATGTTCTTTGTTTGACTGATAATATCTTTATTGCTTCCAATAATGAGCATATCATCTACATATAGACATAGCAAAACATACGCATTTTTGGTAGTTTTGTAGTATATGCATTTNCCCAAGTCTTTCATCTCAAATTTCCCTTTGAGCATGTTCTTTGTTTGACTGATAATATCTTTATTGCTTCCAATAATGAGCATATCATCTACATATAGACATAGCAAAACATACGCATTTTTGGTAGTTTTGTAGTATATGCATTTGTCACATTCATTAATTTTGAAACCATTTGACATCATAGTACTGTCAAATTTTTTCGTGCCATTGTTTAGGGGCTTGTTTAAGCCCATAAAGTGATTTTACTAGTCGGCATACTTTGCCTTCTTGTCCAGAAATGACAAAACCTTCAGGTTGTTTCATGTAAATTTCCTCTTCTAAATCACCATTTAGAAAAGCGGTTTTTACATCCATTTGATGGATTTCTAGGTCTCTTAAGGCTGCGATTGCTATCATCAGTCTTATTGATGTTATTATCGTTACTGGAGAATATGTATCAAAATAGTCATGGCCTTCCTTTTGTCGGAATCCTTGAACTACAAGCCTAGCTTTGTATTTTCCACCAGGTTTTCGCGTCATTATCCATTTATTTCCTAATGCTTTGCTGCCAGGTGGTAAATCTGTTATGTACCATGTATAATTTTGCATGATAGAATCAAATTCACTTCTAACAGCTTCGTTCCAAAACGGAGCTTCTGGTGAAGCCATGGCCTCTGCCAAAGTTTTTGGAACATTTTCTACTAGAAATGCCATTAAGAAATCTTCACCAAATGATTTTTTCCTTTCGAGCTCTTTTGCTCCTTCCTGGTTCATCTTTTTCATTTTTTGAAATATCATGTGTAGAAATCTCGACGTTTGTCTCAGTTTCTGAAACATTGTCGTTGTCTCTTTCTTCTCGAATTCGTTTTGAACCTTGTTTTTCCTTGCATGGAAAAATATTTTCAAAGAAAGATGCATTTCTTGATTCCATTACTGTATTTTCATGGATATCTGATATTTCAGATTTATGTACCAGAAATCGATAAGCACTACTATTATGTGCATATCCGATGAAGATGCAATCCACTGTTTTAGGTCCAATAGTGACCTTTTTTGGTGGTGGTACCGCAACTTTTGCTAAGCACCCCCACACTTTGAGGTATTTATACGATGGTAAATTACCTTTCCATAATTCATATGGAGTTTTGCCAGTTACCTTGTGTGGAATTTTGTTGAGGATATAATTAGTGGTAAGCAGCGCTTCCCCCCACAGGTTCTGGGGCAATCCTGATTCCTGCAACATTGCATTCATCATCTATTTTAGAGTTCGATTTTTGCGTTCAGCAACTCCATTAGATTCTGGTGAGTAAGGGGCTGTAGTTTGATGAATTATTCCATGTTCTTTACAGAATTCATTGAATGGCCCATCATACTCGCCTCCTCTATCGCTTCTAACTATTTTAATAGTTTTTTTAAGCTGATTTTCTACCTCGAGTTTAAATTCTTTGAATTTTTCTAAGGTTTCATCTTTGCTACGTAATAAGTATACATAGCAATATTTTGTGCAATCATCTATGAAGGTCACAAAGTACTTTTTCCCACCTCTAGTTTGTATATATTTTAAATCACATAAATCGGTGTGAATTAAATCTAGAGGTTTGTTAGTTCTTTCAACATGAGGTGAGGGTGTTTTTGTGAGCTTAGCCTGTACGCATACTTCACATTTTTGTTTACTTGTTTTACATTTTGGGATTAGATTTAGATTCGTTAATCTTTGTATCGATTTGTAGTTCACATGGCCTAATCTTTCATGCCAAATATTAAAAGACTCAACCAAATAAGCAACTGGCTCTTTCTTATTCATTGAAACTTTTGGAGCTACAACTTTTGGAATGACTGTCATTACATTCATTTTGACCAGCCCATCCTTAACATACCCCTTTCCCAAATACACCCCATTCTTCCTAATCACGAGCTTGTCCGCCTCAAGAGATGCGGCGAATCCATTCTTGCTGAGCAAGGTTCCCGAAACCAAGTTCTTCCTCATGTCAAGCACATGCTTCACATTCTGCAGAGTGACTTCACGTCCAGATGTCATCTTCAGAACCACCTTGCCGAGGCCTTCAATCTTGGAGACTGCTTTATTCCCCATGAACAGCTTCTCCTGAGTCTTGCTTTTCTGATAAGTGCTGAACATCGCCCTATCAGTGCAAATGTGGGTGGGGGCACCAGTATCATACCACCAATCTTTGGGGTTGTTGTTTTCAACCATGTTGACTTCAGTCACCACTGCAACGAGATCTTCCTCCGTGAGATTCACCTGGGCCTTCTCATCTCTGATCTTGCTGCGACACTCAACAGTCTTGTGACCATTTTTGTGACAGTAGTGGCACTTTCCTTTGAGTTTCTCCACATTCTCATTGTTTTCATTGCCTTTGCCTTTCTTCTTGAAGTTTGGTCCAAAAACCTTCAAGTTTGCAGCTGTCTTGGAAGGCTTGGCAGGAGAGTTAGCAATTGCCTTTCCTTTACCTTTCGTTTCAGCCACATTAACACTGTGCTCTTTATCCTCGAGCTTGTCATTCTTACGGTTCCTGGCTTCCATCTGAAGCCTCTGAATGAGATCCTCAAGTCCCATCTTCTTCTTTTTGTGCATCAGGTAATTCTTGAATTCAGCATAGCTTGGAGGAAGCTTTTGGATGAGGCTGAGGGTTATGAATGTCTCATCTATGGATATTCCCTCAGCAGCAATTTCATAGCAAATGAGCTGATACGCTTCCACCTGATCCATGATGGGTTTTGAATCCACCATTTTGAAGTCATGGAATTTTGCAACTACATACTTCTGGCAGCCAGCGTCTTCACCTCTATACTTCTTGTCCAGGGATTTCCAGAGCTCTTTAGCCTTTGGAATCTCACAGTAGACTTGGTACAATGGATCTATGAGACGACCCAAAATGTAGCCTTTGCAGATGAAATCCGAATGCACCCAACTTTCAACACTTGAGAAGACGTGCATATCGTCAATCCCGTGAGGGATAATGGGCTTATCTTCCTCGATGAATTTGTCCAACTTGCACAAACCGAGGAAGAACATCATCTTCTTCTGCCACGTTTTGAAGCCTTTGCCATCAAATTTGTCTGGCATCATATTCTGAGAAATGACACCAGGAATAGCCGGAGGAGTCGCAACTGCAACCGGAACACTTGTGGATCCTTGAATTGGACCCGTTTGATAAAGACCAGCACCGAACAGGCTATGGCGTGTGGTCTCATCAGGAACAACACCCACTGGAAGGGTGCCATCGGTTGATACAGCGTACGTCACGCCGGTTGCAACAGGTGCTGTCGCATTGAGTGGAGTTTGAGTGGCGAGGTCAATGGGGGTGTTATCATCGTTCGTCATTTTTCTGTAAAGAAAATATGAAAACGGATCAGTACTCCATACAACGATTCAACTAACATATTATTTTTAAGCAAAAAATAATAGTGTAAAATCGATTTTCATTTTTGGTAATTGAACCAAATCATTTCGATAGAAGTCTGGAAAAAAAGTTTTGCAAACTCGCTTATAAGCGTTCGCAGAAACCGTTTAATGTAGACTTAGAATGTTTCACAAATTCACTTAAGAAAGCATCTGTGAAACGTTTCGCGGAAGTGCTATAGAGCAAATCGCAAACACGTATAGTGGACAGATAATAAACGTAAAACGTTTCGCGGAAGTGCTATAGAGCAAATCGCAAACACGTATAGTGGACAGATAATAAACGTAAAACGTTTCGCGGAAGTGCTATAGAGCAAATCGCAAACACGGTTCCAGAACCCGTTTCTATACATCGCTTTTTTCAACCCGATTAAAGCTTTAGACAAAAAGCGATTAAGAGTTAAGATTGTAGAAGCCGGAAAACCGGATCGACATGAACGATATAAGAAAGACGGAGTTAAGGAAATAGACGATTATATAAGACATGGAGGCGAGATAAATCTCTTTCCTTTACTCTTAATATTCGCTCCGTAGTGAGACGAAACTGTATGAATATCGAGTCCCAGGATACAACCATGGCAGACGTTTCACGCTTCTCTCGTGAAACGACCTATCGAACAAATATTCTACGAACACTCTCTGAACTTACTTTGGGAGATTTGTTGGTTTTTGTTGCGTGAAAAAAAATTAAGAATGAAGAAATAGGAGAGATGATATTTAAAGAGAAGACGAAGAGCAACTTCCCGTAACGTGTGCTTGTTAGTGGGAATTTGGCAAAGATCTCGGGAGGTTTAAGTTACGAAAACTTCTCCCCCAAGACTCGCTCTCTCGTTGTTATTAAAATATCTGGCGAGGAATAAACAGTGTGACGTTTTTTTATTTGGTAGACGAACTACTTGTCGTTTTTTAAATAAAATTGCATGCTGTTTTTTGAAGTTTAAATGGCAAGAATTGAGCTTAATTTGGTACAAAAAGATAACTTCTTATCGGGCCAAAGGCTCTCCAAGCACAAGCACAAGCACAAGCCCAAGCCGAGCCGGACGGCGGCGGCGCGCGCGTGGTGAGCCATCTCTCTCTCCAAGCCGTTTAAACATTGATAACACAAGAGCATATATATATTGCTCTCTGATGTGTTATCTGTCCGATGTGGGACAAAAGTGATTTATTCACTTAGACAACTTTTGTGTTTTACTTGCACAAAGATGCCAACTTCCTAGCATCATTTCTCATTCAATTTAAATCTGTTTTTGACGTTTCAATATATCAAATTGTAGTACTTGTTACAAGCTTTCCAATGATATAACAAACTGATCAAGGCGATCACTGGTTTGGCTGGAAAAGCTATCAGAAAAGTCGAAAAGATCACAGTGTCAAAAACTGTTTCCAACATTAATAGTTAGAATAGAAAAGTTACCATTTTCATTATCCAAAATTTCCAATAACATTTAATTCTAAAAAAAATTGGTTTTCTCGTATATAGGTTCTCATAACACTATTCACACTATACCAAATTGATATCTCATTAGAGATGAAATTACATCTAATTTAGTGTTTTGATGTTTCACTGTAGATGAGCCTTAAGCTTTGGAGATTATAGAATATACACAACTGAAAGGAAAATTATAGTGATCACCTTACCACTAACTACCTAAAATAGCCAGCTTTATGTTCTGAATCTGGAATCACCGTCAAGGTTAGTATAAAGAGTGAAAGATTATGTGACAACCTATCATGTGGTTCACAAGCGCTGTAGCGCATCAACCCTAACCCCTCACTGTTGGAGGAATTGCCTCCACATCCACTGATAGGTTATTGATGAGCTTGGCATTACTCGAATCCAAGATCTCCATCCTTTAACAACTCTCTACAAGATAAGCTGTCACCAATTGAACTGCAGATCAGTTGGTGACAGCTTATCTTATGGAGAGTTGTTAAAGGGTGGGGTTTTGGGTTCGAGTAACGCCAAGCGTATCAATAATCTACCCGGAAGAACTGAGAGCTCGGCCGGTGAAAGGTTAGGGTTGATGCGCTGCAGCGTTTGTGAGCCATAGGATGGGTTGTCACAGATTATTCTTCCTTTTTTTCACTGTAACTGGATGATTTTGCTTACAGGTGCCGATTGTGTTTTGCTGCTACAAACCCCCAAACTTGGTATAAATTTCGCTCTGCGTGAATATAACTTGTAAACCGATGACATGTGGAACATAAGATAAAATGAGATGGTGTAATAGTAAAATACAATTCGTTTAGTAAACCCTTTTTATATCTCAAGCAGAGAGCTGCAATATTATACCTCTTGACGTTTTTCTCTTGCGGGATAGTGTTTATGCACACATTTTTCTAACTATGATTAATAAAAAAGTTCACAGAAATAGCTCTCTTTTGAGATTATTATGAGCCTAACCCACAAAAGTGATTGTGATCATGTGGTGTATTATAACGGTACAATCACATGATCAAGTCATCAAGTAAAGGGAGGCTAAAGGGAAGTTTGATAACTCCACAAGCCAAAAGCAGAGACACGATCCATATTGGTAGAATCCATTGAATTGTAAACATAAAAACTGGTTTCCCTGCAACATTATCAATCATCCGATTTTAGGGTATTAGGAAGAGCTTTAATTATCACTCACTATTCGAGAAAGAAAAATAAACTTACCGGAGGAACGAAGCTTAGACTCGGTTCCATCAACAAACATTTCACCAAGCTCTCGTAGTTTCTTCTCCAACTTTCCTTCGAATTTATTAGCATGGCCTAGAAGAAGCTCATCGAATACTGTATTCATATCCATTTCCCTTTTAAAACAAAAACAGCAAACAAGTTTCAAAATATCTGTACAGTTACATGTCATATAATTCACAATATATACGTACCCTTCAGAATCACGATATGAACCAGCTCCAAATGCTCGCTCGATCTGAGCTATTGATGGCTTCTTCGCTCGCCGTTGCTTCCGTGATAGTTGCTGATTTTCATTCCCGGGTTTTTGGCTGATTCTTGTCGGTTTCTTGATAGGTTTCGACGGAAGGGAAGATGGAGAGTCATTGGTTAGAGATGCCATAGCTGTTGAAGCTTTGCTCATGGAGAAGCTGCTGCTCGATAAGACCACCATTGCCTCCCTCTTGTCTTGTGTGGTATTCGCAGCTTGCCTAGACTTGAATAAAATTATTATTATCTTTCTAGTATTCCTATTTTTTTTGTGTTTTGTTTTTACATGTGATAATGTCAAAAGATAGTCACAAGAAAATGATCCTATACATTACAAGAAAAAAAGTTATTAAATCAGCTCCACTGAAAAGTTTTCTCAAGAGTTACCAAAATATATGGAATAATAAAAATTCATCAAATGTTAAAAAACATTTTGAGATACTTTTAATAAAATATAAATAAATTTGTATATATATATATATATTTCTGAACTTTAGTTTAAAAACCTGACATTGAGGTTGATGTTTAACAATTAATTAAATCAAGCAATTCAAAATACTTTGAATTCTCATGATTTTGAAATACTCTTTGTTACTTGGTGATGAAGAATCAGCTATATTGGAAGCTTAAACCACGTCGAGATTGACAATTGGGTTATATGGCGTTTGGTTAAACGGCCGGTTAAATATTACTCAATGGTTTACGGTTATTGACAATCGGTTATCAGTTGTAACAATCCTTGCCTAATATCAAAGCAAGGCTCGTGTGTTTTACACTAAGGAGGTTAGTTTACATTGCCAGGCCCCAGAGACTATCCACATCGGTGAACTTTGGGACATTAAATGAAAAGGTTGGTTAAGCCCGTCGGACTTGTTCAAGTTGGGCTAACTTGAACAAGTGACGTGCGTATGATTTATGGGCCTAGTTTACAAAGCCCATTAGGTCATGTTCTGATTATATCAGATGGAGAGGTCACGACAGAAGACCTAACACAAGATAGACACAAAGAAACACAGAGGAGAGGCACGGAAGAGTGGGAGCTCGTGAGAGAGCTTGAGACCAGGGTTTGGGTCTGCAGAGATATAGCTAGAGAGAAGAAAGGTTCTCTGTATACTAGCTAGGCTTTTCCCTACATAATTGTATCTCTAGGTGATTTGTAACAGAGATCAAGAGAGGTTGACAAGATCTGTAACCTCTGGATATTGTACTCTTGTGTTTGATATAATGGAAGGTTGAGAGACCGATTTCTCTCTCCAGTGAGTAGCTCCTTCTTCACATCGAAGAAGGGAGGTGAACACTGGGTTAACAAAAGTGTCTTGTGTTCCTTCTTTACTTGCTTGATTCGTGTTCCGCGTACTTGATTAGTTGACTAAGTTTGCGATACAAACTACTGAGCTTCTAGTAAACAAACAAATCCTGAACAAGGGAATAAGAGCTTGTAGATTCCGCAACAAGCTTCTTTGGTTTATTCCCCAACANGAAGAAGGGAGGTGAACACTGGGTTAACAAAAGTGTCTTGTGTTCCTTCTTTACTTGCTTGATTCGTGTTCCGCGTACTTGATTAGTTGACTAAGTTTGCGATACAAACTACTGAGCTTCTAGTAAACAAACAAATCCTGAACAAGGGAATAAGAGCTTGTAGATTCCGCAACAAGCTTCTTTGGTTTATTCCCCAACAAGTGGTATCAGAGCGCTGGTTTGGCGATAGGGTTTGTCTAGGTCGAAGCTGGATTGATTCTGAAGAAGTTGAATCAGGGGATTAGTAGTCCTGATCGTGTCAAGGGTTCAAGTGTAACGAATCAGAGATGATGTTGATGGATATGCAGCATCAAAGAAAGAAGAAGATGACGTTCGTGTGTGGTACGCGAAGGAAACGTCGGAAACGGAAGAAGGTCCAATCGGATCTAATGGTTTCTGGTCTGTGATATCAGATGAAAGTAATGAATGCTGCAGGGTTTGCAAGAACGAGAAGATCCGAAGACTGAAGAAGAATAACTGCACAGTTGAGCGTGTTCAAGAACAGTGACACAATTGAACGTGTCCGTGGTCTGTAGGATTAGAGATTGATTTGATGGTTGTTTGAGGTGGAGAATATCTCAAGTTGGAGACAGATTCATATTAAGTCAGAACAAGGCTTAAGGAGATGGAATCAAAGTCAGGTCATCAGTTTCTCAGGTTAAATCTTCGGAATAAAGGGTCTCATTCCAAGGGAATCACAAGAAAGGTTGTGATGGCTGGTTACTCAGGTTTTTCAACATGTAAGGAACTGAAGCTTTAAGGATCACAAGGGGTGTATGTTGTCTTTGCAAAGGATGATCAAGGTTCTGGTCTGGGTCAGATTGTGCGTTGGTTAGTTTGATTGTGGAAGAAATATGCAGCGTGGTTTCAGAAAGGAGTAAAGAATGGCAGTTGGTGACACTTTGTTATCTCAGATCTAGGGGACGCCTTAGAAGTTGAAGATGGTATGTGTGTTCAGAGGCTATTCAGATTTTGATCAGTGGTTCCAGGGTTCGGGTTTGAACAGAAAGTTGCAGAGAAGTGTTCAACGTGAGAAGTCGTTGATCAGGTTTGGAACGAGACATGGTGTTGGTACTTTGAGGCTTCAAAGTCGGTTCGGTTGAGAAGATTTAAGTTGCAGGATTGTAGGTTCAGTCACAGAGAGGTTAAGGATCAGGTTCTTGTGGTTAAAAGGAAGCTCAAGTGAGGATGGTCTGGGTTCAAAGATCACAATGGAGCTTGTAGCAGCACATGTATATTTCTTGTGGCAATGATGTGACGAAACAGATGGCGTTTCTGTTTTGAGGCAGCGCAAGAATAAGAAGTCAATCTCATTGGGTAAATGAGATGAAATGTTTCTGGTTGATTGAAACATGTTGTATCTCCACGAAGAAAGAACTAGAGCAAGGGAGAATTGTGTAAAGGCCTACACAAGTTTATGTTGGAGCAAATGGCCGTTTGTGGTAACAACATGTAGTAGCTCTGGTGAAGGCGTGTGAGTGACAAGAACAAGCCATGGGAGAAGTCGATTTAAGGTTAGAGTTTTCTTGTTGATTCTGGTTAAAAGCGGCGGAAATGCGCAGGGAGAATCCGGTTGAACAGGTCGGGCAACACGTGTTCATGAAGCATTGTTTACTACCACAGCTAGGAGAAGTCTGTGTGTGAGTTTACCTTAGAAGAATCGTCATGGTGGTCTGAGTCAGAGGTTTCAGAAGAACAGGCTCAGAAGAAATAAGGGACGACATGTTTGGTGTCATGACCAAAGTCGTCAAGGTGGAGCTCTCAGACAAAGGGCAAAGCTCTGAATCATCAAAAGGATGATGTTTTAATCTTCCAAGGAGAAAATACTTGCTGGCTTGACAAGTATGGAAATCAGGGTTGAATAGGTCACGGTTCAGGTCTGAGAAGAAGGAGGATACAAGCACCAATGGTTTGTTGGTGGAATTTTCACACTGGTGATATTGTTGCAGGACATGTTACAGCTGAGGAAACTCACCAAGGGATCGAGTTTGACATGGAAGAAGCTGCAAGGGTGTATCTTGACAGGTTACATGAGAATACACGCACCAAAGGTTTTTTGGTGGAATTTGCACACTGCTGATAGTGTTGCAGGCGAGGTTATAGCTGAAGAAACTCATTATGTGTTCGAGTTTGACACTGAAGAAGCTGTAAGGGAGTATCTCAGGAAAACATCACAGGTTTGGATGATGCGAGATATTGTTAAAGGATATCAGTAGTGGGTTAAATCTACTGATGACTGTTTTCTTAGACTCAGGGAATTTGAACATGGGACTTGTGTCCAAAGTACTCCCAACAAGGTGGAGTTGTGTGGTGTGGCTTGTTAAGTTCAACAGTGGTACGCGTATGTTCAAGGTGGAGTCTTGCTGAACAAGCAGCTGTTTAAATCAGAGGATGACTTAGGATGGAAACATGTATGTTTCGAGTTTTATGCATGGGATTCAGTAGAATTATATTTCTGTATCTCAGGGATATGAGGTGAATCAGAAGAGTCTACAAAGGTATCATAGTTGCAGATTGGTAATGATGTGTTTGAGCAGAAATTCTTTGTATCGAAAGTCTTCTTAGCATGGAGTTAAGCGGTGTGGTTGTTGGCAACAGCAGCGGTGCAGAGTGATGTTCAAGATAAGGTGTTCATTCAGGTTATTGAAAAGGGAAATCTCAGGATAGCAGTGGGTCTACTAGCTGTTGAGGTTTGTTGAGTCAAAGGAGTGTCTGATTTTGAGGCAGTGGTGGTTCAGGTTCCGTAAGAGTTTCAAGGCCAGCATCGGCATCAGGTTTTTTTTGCAGAAATATTGAATTCAAGGTTTGTATCAAAGATCATCTGATACAGAACACGTTTTGAACTGGAGTCACAAGAGGTTGATTAAGTCTGACATTGCTTTAAGGTTGAGGCTGAAGTGTCGATGGTAATAATCAAGTGCATGGTGGTGACTGAAGTAATATGACTGCATGGTTTTGAAGACAGAGTTGTTATGGTTAGAGCTTCGGTTTTGAGGTTCCAAGGAAAAGCAACAAGGAGTCTTCAGGTTGTATCGAGTTGGATACATGTGGGATGATGGGGGAAACTTGTTTAAGGAGTATTGACGTTGGGCAGGTGAAGCTCAACAGGTGGATGAAGCTGGATGAGCTTTATTCAGAATAATTAAGGCTGAGAAGGTCAGTTCTCAGGAGGCTGCAAGAGATGCAGAAGGTGAGCATGGTTGTTTGCTCGGACTTCAAGAAGTTTTGAAACGACTCTGAAGATTCTCAGAGTGACCAAGCACTAAGGGTGTTTGGTACTGTTTGGCATTGCATGAGTTGGCAACATGGTAGCTGCAGATAGAGCTGATTAATCATCAAGGTGGAGATTGTTACTTGGTGATGAAGAATCAGCTATATTGGAAGCTTAACCACGTCGAGATTGACAATTGGGTTATATGGCGTTTGGTTAAACGGCCGGTTAAATATTACTCAATGGTTTACGGTTATTGACAATCGGTTATCAGTTGTAACAACCCTTGCCTAATATCAAAGCAAGGCTCGTGTGTTGTACACTAAGGAGGTTAGTTTACATTGCCAGGCCCCAGAGACTATCCACATCGGTGAACTTTGGGACATTAAATGAAAAGGTTGGTTAAGCCCGTCGGACTTGTTCAAGTTGGGCTAACTTGAACAAGTGACGTGCGTATGATTTATGGGCCTAG